GGAAAATGTTCTTCTGAGCAAAGTATCACAAGAATGGAAGAAAAAGTATCCAATGTACACACCCCTATTATGAAACTAATTTATACCTTTTATATGTAAGCTATAACCTAATAACAGCCTAAGAATATGGGAAGGTGGGAGGGAGAGAGGAGGGGGAAAACGGTGGAGGGAGAGGGATTGGAGGGATCACTTCTGAGGTTTATCTTACAAGGGTACAAGTAAATCTTTCTAAGAGCAGAATGTGAATGTTTTAAAATAATAACTAGGAAAATGACACAAAGGCTATGTTAACCAGTTTGATGGAAGTGTTTCGGATTATGTGTGAAAACCCCACACTGTACCTCAGAAGTGCATTAATGTACATAGTTACCATTCAATAAAAAAAAAAAGAATTACAGATTTACAGTAATCAAGACACTATGTTATTGCTTTATAGTTAAGCATAAAGAAAACACAATAGAACAAAATATAAAAAGTAGAAATATACCTATACAAATATGACCAGATGGTTTTCAACAAAGTTACAAAAGGCAATTCAGTAGAAATAGACAGTCTTCAAAAAACAATGTGGTAACAATTAGATACCAAAATGCAAAAACATGAATTCTCTCCATACTTCATACTATACATAAATAATAACACAAAATGGATAAGAAACTTAAATGTAAAATATAAAACTAAAAAACTTCTAGAAAAAAAAGAGAAAAACTTTACAAGATTGGATTAGGTAAAATTTCTTAAATGCAACAGTAAAATTATTATCCATAAAATAAAAGTTAATAAATTGGGGCTTATTAAAATTAAGAACTTCTGCTTTTCCAAAGAAAAGGAAAGTACATGCCACAGACTGGGGTGGAAACATTTGCAAAGAGGGCAGACAAAAAAAAAAAAAAAAAAAACTGCTTAATTCCATTATGTAAAATTCTAGAACATGCAAATTAATCTATAGGCACAGAAACAGATCAATGGTTGCTTGGTGATAGGGAACAAGGGATTACCAATAGGTAAAAGGAAACTTCTGGGGGTGATAAATATGTCCAACACTCTGACTGTAGAGATGGTTTCATAGGTATAAACTAAAATAAAAAAGTATCAAAATTGTACACATCAAACTTTTGCAATTTATTGTACATAAACTATGCTTCAATGAAGCTTTTTTAAAGAAAAAACACAGAAAATATGTTCTAGAGCTATGTCTGAGAGTAAAAGAAAGTATGAAAATATGAATACCAGAAGAAAATATAAATAAATACAGAGAGTGCCAACAATATGTATACATGTTTTAAGCATGGAAAAAAGTATGTTAAAACAATAATATTCAGTATACACCAATAACAAAATATGAATACAAGTCACACTGAGCACCTCATATAATTGCAGAAGTCAAATGTGTATTTATATTACAAATTAAATACAGTTTTCCCTCTACATAATTTTAGAACAGATCATTCTAAGCACAACATTAAAACCTGAAACTATGAAAAAAGGCTTATTAATAATTTTGCTATCTAAAAATATAATCTTTAAAATAAAGAACTAAAAGAAGGAATACAGGTAGTTAATAAAAAAATTCTAAGATTCCATGCTAACAAATAATTTCAAAGTGCAAACTAAAAACAAGATGCCATTTTTCATCTATGATGACACAAATTTTTTAAGATTTAACAAATCCAGCTGCTACCATGAGCATGAACCCTGATGCTGGCAGTAAAATCTCAGAACAATTTTTCTGGAAGGCAGTTGGCATTTGGATAATGTTTTCAAATGTTCGTACCCATTAACTCAATCATTTTTCTTTAAGGAATTTCTGCTAAGAAAACAGAGAAGTACCAAAAACGATGTGTACATGATACCTTCAAACAATTAAACATTATATAATAATTAAAATATAAATTTACTGACAAGCAAAGAGAGATATATTTGAAAGCATAAAAGATTATTATCAAATGTTTTGTTATCTGTTACTACATTTAGGCAAAATTGTTTTTATTTTATTTTTTATTGAAATAGTTTTTTTTTTTTTTTTTGAGACAGAGTCTCACTTTGTCACCCTCTGCAGAGTAAGATGAAATCACAGCTCACAGCAACCTCAAACTCTTGAGCTCAAGTGATCCTCTTGCCTCAGCCTCCGAAGTGCTAGGACTACAGGCATGAGCCATAATGCCCAGCTATTTTTAGAGACAGGATCTCACTCTGGCTCAGATTGGCCTCAAATTCCTGAGCTCAAGCAATCCACTCACCTCAGCCTCCCAGAGTGCTAGGATTATAGTCATGAGCCACCACACCCAGCCTAAGTAAAATTTTGGTATTAAACTACTGGTATCATGGCATATACCGATGGTCAGCTAATTTAGCATCTATTCCCAACCCCCTTTTCACTAGGCCATCTACATTAGTTCTCAGCCTCCCTACTACTAGAGGAGGCCATGTAACAAAATTATGTTACTGAGCCCTATTGAGTAGAAATTTCCTAGGAACCTTTTAGAAACATACTTTTCTAACAGAAGTAACTGTCATTACTATAACTATCTTTTCCCCCTAACCTGCCTTGTAGTGAGGTGTCTTACAAGGTATCTCATCAAAAGCCGTACCTTATTGTCACCAAGCCAACATACTAGAGATGACAGATTGCAAAGAAAGAAAAAAGCCAGGTCTTTGATAACGGTCACTAACTACCACAACTGCTTCCACTGGCCACTTCTGTACTTCTTTATGTGAAATAAAGAAATGTCTCTACTCTCTACTAGCAAGGATTTGGTTAATAGACACCTTCATTCAAACACAGTTGATAGGGTTCACTGGTATGGCCCTTTAGGTAATCAGTTTCAAACTTTATTTCAAACTATTTTAAAGGGTTTAAAAATATTCTTATCCTTTGTTTGACCAGGAAGTTCAGTATTTAAATGTCTATCAAAGAAATAATAATAAAAGTGTTATTATAAAGATGTTCAGCACAGGTATATTTACAACACTAATAAACTAAAAATAACATAAATATTTAAAAGTATAATGCTCGTAAACATGCATCTGATAGCCAACAGCATTGATTTTTGATGTAAGATTTTAAGAATTGATTTCATCCCTAGATTTTCTTAACTTCACACCATCACCAAGAAAGTTAATAGATGTAATGTACTTATACACTTGGTTACTAAAGATCCAATCAAAGCCTATTTCCTAAGCGACTCTGGAAAAAAAAAAACTGACACCTGGAGAAAGTCACACTACCACAAATTACTCCAAAATTTAACTGTAATATGCAGGCTTTAAATATGAAGCCCCTTTAAACAACCAGATCTACAGAACAAACATTTGGGCCCACCAGCTGCTATGGATAGCAGAACCACAAAAAGCTCCTACTTATCAGATTACTTTTCAGAGGCATAAAGAATATACTTTACAAAGGTACATATCTAAAAACTTACAGTGAAGATGAATAATAAATATTTATATTCCAAGCCCAAAAATTCCAGTCTAGAAAGAAATATTTGATGTTTTTATTTCTGAATACTAAAGCACAATAATGATTATAGTAATTTTAATCAAACTTAAAAGGTATGCCTTATTACCTTGTTGATACAAGCTATTCACCTTTGAACAGGCAAACAAGAGGGAAAAATCCTTAAGGCATTTTTATATTCTAACTTAACAATTATCTGATAATTACCCCATCATTACCTGCTGATTAAGGATTCCATTCTAAATTCTTAGCATTTCTGATGCTACAGGCATGTTACTTCAAAAGTCCTACCTGGGAAGAGACTGAGAAGACTGACTGGAGATTTGTTGGTATCAATAGTTAGTTTGTGGCTTGCAGTTTTTGAAGGCTGACCTGGTAGGCAGATTAATTTCAGGGGAAGTCTAAATTTACATTGGATAACTCTAGGAATGCCTGAAATAAAAGAGAGAAATGTAGATTCACAGATTTCGCAAATAATTTGACAAAAACTTTTATACTACTAGTAGTCTGAGTACCTACACGTCTTATAAGTTCGTTGCCTACTTCATTTAGTATAACAAAAACAACTGTTTACTGTGTTACTATGATTCATTGTTTTACTGATTTAAAATATGCAAGGCAAAAAAAATATTAAAAGGACATTAAGCATGACTTATATCTTTAATAGTAGTACCATATTTTTTAAATCATCACATTTGGATACTATATAAAACATTATAGTTACTTAACATTCAATTACAGAAATAATACCTTCAAAGCTCTAACCCTAATCCAAGACTATCAGCAAAAATGAGCAATTACATAAATTTTATAACAGTAAGATTCTGTAAGATCATAAATAAAAATTTCTCTACCTGCAAACATTTTAAATCTTTAGCTATTTTTACTTATTAAAGATTCAAATTATACTAATAGTTTTCAACCAATTATGGGTATGAAAGCAGTATTTGCTCTACTGAAGTTCTATTTAAGTCCATGTCCATCCCATACATTAATATTAAGAATATTACTTTTACACAAATTAAACATTTCCCAAGCCATTTAACTTTACATATCACTTTAAGTGACATTTTTGAAGGCTCATAGTCACTCAATTGTCAAATTGATTCAATATTCATACATGCATATTTAAATAGGTATTTGAATAAACAAATTTTATATAAGAATTTTTAAAGTTTAAAAAAATCACTTCTTTCAATATTTTTACAGAGAATGGAACTAAAACCAAAGTAAACTAGGTTCTCTACATATAAATCTAGAAAAAGAATACTATAACCTTAGTTTTCACTCCTTCTATTCTGGGATTCTCTGTTGGACTGGATAAGAGGAAAGATAATACACAGAAGCCTGTATCTTAGCATATTGCTATAGGAAAAGGGAAAACTCAAAATGTTCTCCTCTACTTGATGGGTGCACACTTTATTAATTCCTTTATTTTTTGTAATGGAGTCAGTGAGCAGCTTAAAAATAGCAAAAGCAGAAGCAGTTAAAGTTTGGAGACATGATTCCAAAACAAGATCCCTGAAATTAGCAATATGTTTTGCTAATGCCAATTGGAATTGTGTGGCTTACTCCACCACATCCAAGCTAGGAGTACATTTTTCAGTACCATTTGTCCACTAGGATAGTGAGAGATCATCAACAATGGCAAGCATTTTGATATATGAGGTCAATTAAATACTTTTTCAGAGCATGTGGAGCATATTTGTCATTCTCTTCAATATAATCTATTATCCATCAAATTTTACATAGCTCATTTTTTGCTCATAACCAACAGATGTTAAATTCACTTCTCCTGGATCCTAGCTGCAAAGAATAAGTGGTGTCTCTCAAGGAAAAAAAGAAAAAAAGAAAGAAAAAAAAAGTCCCAGGGTATTATTTCTTGACATTCTGTGAGGTTTTAGAGGCATGTGCATTTGTACCTTACCATGATGAAATGTTTTGACTTGAAATATTATAGTAACACGACCTAAGATACTCCCCAAAGCACAACTATCAGTAGCACCACAAAAAAACTAGAAAGTATTACCTTTTCTGACTTCAAAGAAATTTCCATATATTCTATATATCCCCCAAATAATGAAAATATATCTACTGAGTATGTTACCTCTACAATGAATAAATTGCAGCCTCAAGTAATACTATAGTCAGGAAAGAACAAGGAAGCAGAAACTTGTTTCCATTGCCTTAATTTTTAATGAACAACAAAAAATGCTTCATATTCTGACAATTTTGTAGTACACAAAAGGAAGCAATCTTTGATATACTTCCAGTGAAGTTCTCATCTAATTATTCAAACAAAAATGTGATTGTAAATGTTATTCTAAAACTATACTACGGAAACTGAAGGCTCTACTTCACTTGGACCAGGTCCTGACTAAATTCAGAGTAAAAAAAAATTTTTACTCTGGCTTTCTGTTACTGAGTCTATATATTTGATACTATTACCCTAAATCTCTAAGAACCCAGAGGTAAATAAACTGGTGTGTATATAAGTTTTCAGAATCAAAGCAAATGGATTTCAGGCACTAATAAACCCAAGACGAGAAATACATTGTAACTCGAGTCACAGTTCAGTGAGGTCACTTAATGACAATATCACACACTATAGAGCCATGGTCTGAACTTGCTAAGATTTGTAGAACTCCTCCAAAATATCTTTTCTCTCCAGGAATTATAAACCTGTTTCTCAAAGGACATTTGGAAAACATTACTTTGAAAAATGATTATACTTGTACTTAATAAAAATGATTATGGCTATTTTTTAAAGGATGACAGCTTGCAAAGTTTCACCATTAGGGTAAAAAAAGTATGAAATCCTTTAGAAACCAGTTTAAGAAATCATATCTTTAGAAGAAAAATCAAAATGCATTATTCACATCAGATTAAAATTAAATTAAATTAAAAACCAAACATTTCAAAATACAATCTCTAATACTTAGACACATTTCTATTGAGATTAACACTTTCTTAAGAAACCTGAAGTATAAATTCGGCTGCTAATTACTGTTTGGGCTGTAACTATATGTAAGAACATGAAGCCAGTGTTTCATAGAGGTATATGTGGATGTACACATGTGTAATAAAGAAAAAATTGCATGTATTTAATGATTTTTCAAGGTTGCTAACAGTACAGTTTTCATTGAAATAGGCTTATTGGTCCTAACTTTGCCTACCATCATTGATATTTTCTCTATGTTGGCAAAACAGTATATCTGGCTTATTCAACTCTCCAAGTTAACTGAGCCTGGTCTAAATTACTATCCAATCAAATACAAATCAAGTCACTTCATGATTGAAGAGTATAACATGAATAAACTCTCAGAGAGAAAAGAGCTTCATCATTTATTTTACTCAAATATTGGCCTAGTCATTCATCAGACTGACTTTATTCTGCAGTATTCTTACCAACTATAATCACCTCTCATTCAAACACTTCCCTTCCCAACCTACTAGAGGAAATGGATAATCACAACTACCATGGTGCAATTAATCACAAAATTATGTAACACTCAGAGAGAATATTCTCATCAAAACTACCTCTAACAGAACAATTTTTCTAGAAAGAGAACTCTAATTTCACCTGGCAAACCTAAGAGATCAATATCACTGTCAAATGCAAAGCCAAAATGTGCTTATTTTAAAAAAGAAAAAAGGTAAAAAAAAGAACATAGTACTAAAGAAAAAAGAACATATGTATATATGTATATTAGAGAAAAATAACTATATCTATATATTACACATCTATATCATGCCTTTAGAACTCTTTCCAGGGGCCTGCTAGAGTAATTTCATATTGAAAACAAGGAACCCCAAAGCAGTAGCAATGTCTGGTAGCCAGAATTTCCTTGATCCTTTCCTGTTATGTCTGGCTACGTACTGTGCTTCATCTGCAGTCATGTTTTACACTGCCCATGTCATGTAACTTTAATGCAGAAATAATGGAGACTAACCCTTATGGGACATCATAAAACCTCGTTTGCTTCTCTTTTTCCACATATAAAAGCAGAACTGCTTATCTGCAATACAGACTGAACAGATCAGGACAATAAAATGAATCAGTCTTTGAAATATGAAGCCATGTGTTATAAGCCCTAAGTGGCAACATATTATTTTCTTGCCTACTAGGTGCAGTTGAATATTTTAACTCTACTCCCTAACGCTTAATTATAATTTTAAAATACATTAGAAGAGATTATTAATACCAGCTTTAACTTTGTATTGGAACATTAAAACGTATATAAATTGTGATTATTTTTCTCATAGTTTGAGCTGAATTTATAGTAAGAGGGAATGAATTTCTCTCAATAACAACCTTTACTGATATTTTTAAACTTAAAACAAATAAGTGGGATAATAATATGGTATTTCACAAATTTTAGTTCAAAATCTTATGAGTTATGTGAGATCTTACAAATAAAAATATAAATATTCATTATTAATGAGAGATTTTTCAATGACCCAACATCTAATTGTTAAGTATACTTTGTAATTAAGCCAAACATTTACTTCTATTAAAACATTTTTCATATTAATATATGTTCACCTTTCAGATATCAAAATAATATGTACTATGCAAATCAGGTTGTTGGCAACACCCAAACTGTATGAGTAAATATTACCATTATTTTTTTAAGTACAGTAGAACATCCATAGTTGACCACCTCTCTTACAATGGCCACTTCCTTAGGTTGGCCTAATTCTCATAGACGAGACCTGGACTACATGTACAGAGTTCAGTAGGTTAATACCTTATGTTGCCCACCTCTGTATGTTGACCAGTCTGTTAGAGTCCCTTAGATGGTCGATATACAGAGAGGTTCTAGTGCATTTTAATTATATTTACCTATTATTAATTAATATTATTATCTAAAATGTATCTTAACTGATACAGATACACTGCAACATTAAGTCTCTATCTAGGAGGAAAAACAATCAAAGTAAAAAATATTTTTTTACTTGATCTCTGTTCTTAAAGAGTTCAAAATCTATGAAGGACACCTAAGGAATAAACTTATTCTCATATTATGATCAGAATTATAGCAGAGTCATAAGCAAAAGATCTGGAGAAAATAAAATGAGAAACAATTAATAGTGACCCAAGCAAATTCAAGGGGGGGGCAGAACTTTGATCATATTCCCCTACAAATTCTAAACAAGATAGAGGCCCATAGAGTCAGAGAGAGAGAGAGAGAGGCAGGTCTGTTGGGTCATGTAGAAAGATAATTTAGAATTTGGTGATAAATACCTTTTTTCCCTTACCCTTTATTTTAAGTAAAATAAAATAACAGAGCATTGGTAAACAACGAATGATTTAAAGAAATAAGTTGTTAATGACACACCTTTGATGTTTTTCTAAAAGTAATTCTGTTCTTTTTTTTTTTTTTTTTTTTTTTTGAGACGGAGCCTCAAGCTATCCCCCTGGGTAGAGTGCCATGGCATCACGCTCACAGCAACCTCCAACTCCTGGGCTCAAGCAAGTCTCCTGCCTCCGCCTCCCAAGTAGCTGGGACCACAGGCGCCTGCCACAATGCCCGGCCGTTTTTTTTTTTTTTTTTTTTTTTTTTGGTTGCAGCCATCATTGTTGTTTGGCGGGCCCGGGCTGGGGATTCAAACCTGCCACCTTAGGTGTATGTGGTTGGCTTGAGCCACAGGTGCCGAGCCAGTAATTCTGTTCTTACTCCTAACATGATTCTTTCTCATAACTCAGAACAACTAATAATGACAACTCTCTATGGAAACATGCATTATGCTTGCCATTGCAGCATCGAGCCATTGTATTATTTTAAAGAAATTTCCTATAGCAGTACATAAGAAGGTTTCATTTATGGTATAATACGAATTCATCAACCAAATTTTAGTTCTCAGATTCATTTTTTTCAAAATGATCTTACACTTACCATCAGGATTTCGATCTATCCATCGCAGGCAACACAAAAAGGAGCAGAGGAGAAAGAATACAACAAATTATCTGTGGTGAAGTTGCAACACAAATTTAATACACATCTACTAAAATATAAATTAAAACTTTCAAGGTTCTCACAGATGGTTTAAATGACCCTCCAATCAAACACAAAGTCAATTCACAAATGAAGGGTATAACGTGAATAAATGAATGCGATATACATTGTCATCACAGAAGTCCACAAGATTGTTATTCTAATGTAAATGTGGCAAAAAATAAAGATATATGATTAGTAAATATTACTATGGAGTAATATCTTTCTTTTTTTGTCTATAGAAAAGCACAATAGCCACAGAAGTGCAATCACAATCTCACCAACTGCTATTATAACTTTACAGTATATTTTTACTACTTTCTACTACTTGTTTACCTATTTTTCTACTTTAAATTTATTTTCAACCAATATACTACCTTTTCCTTGAAAAAATTGCTTAAATTGCTTAAATTGCTTAAATTAAGGCATCAGTAGTTTCTACAACTGTATTTTCTATAGTATAAATAAGGTGTAATAATGCCTATTTTTATCAAGAAGCTCAATTAATAAGTGATTCAGAGATCTTACCCAAATAGTTCTCACTTTTTAATTTTGTTACTCAAAATTAAATATCTAACCAAAAGGTCTATCGTTACATACTCTTTTAGGGAAGTTGTTATTTCTTTATGAAGTCAGCTTTATCAAAGCCATTTAAACATAAAAATATTGTTCATTTTTAAAAATTTTTTATATTTACATAACCCTAAATAATAATTATATAACCCTAATAAATATAATTTTTATATCTATATTTATATAACCCATATTTTGAAAATATGGTAAATGGCTAGCATGGTTATTTCTCACTAAAAATATTTTTTTCTTAATAATTTAAAGAAAAATAATTTATAAAGTAGAAGAAATTGACTTTTAAATTTACTTAAGTTATAATATTATAACAGAGCATATAAAGCTGCCAGTGAATAAACCAGAAAATTCACTTAGACAAGGAAAAAAAGCTACAGTTATGATAAACAATGCCAACAAAGCAAAATGGTCATAAATAGAGAGGAGAAAAGGAGACACTTTTTAAACTTCTAAAATTGTACAGAAATGTTTAAAAACACAAATACTGCTGAAATATGCTATTATCAGCTAAGCTATGTTTCAAGTAAAAAGGCAATGACTACTAATTATTTTCTATCAATCAGTTGCTTATCAAACTGTTACCATGAAAAATGCATTACACAGGGGAAAAAACTATCCAATGAGACTCAACTAAGTTGAAACTGACAACAATTGAATCCCGCCCGGCCTAAAGACAGCCTTTTAAAATCTAAAATTTTGAATATTGCCTTGATGTTAGACTAATCCCTAATATTCTTTTTTACTAATTCAGACTAGCCTTTAGTTCAAGTAAATGAAATATAACTAGATAATACTCTTCTAATGGTAATAAAAATATATCAGATGTGCTATTAAGTAAAAAGAGAAAATCAAATATTTTATATACAAAACATTAAGTAAAAAGAGGGAATCAAATGTTATATATACAAAAATCAGCTAAGTAGACCTATCACTACTCATAACACATTAAATTAGAACATACAATTTTACTGAATTTTTTTTCATTTAATTATAGTTGACAATACATATTCCCATCTTAAACACACAAGCATTTAACTTATAACTCCAATAACTTAAAGGAATGATTAGGTCTGTAAATTTGTGAGCAAGTTTATGTTTACCTGTTGGTCTGGTATAAGAAACAACAGCATTTCCTTCCAATTCAGATGGTAAATAACTTCTTTTCAGATAAACAGAAAAAACCACTGTTCTAGTCATCTCTGGTGCTATAAGCAATGTAAAAATAACATAAATTATGTAATTTGGGACAGCTGGTATTAACAACAGTTTTTAAATGTACAAGGTACTCATTACATGCTAGGTACTATAATAAGCACCTTAAATGGAGTGCTTTAATTTAATTTTCATAACAAATCTATAATATGAGTATTATTATTGTCCTCATTTTTTATGCAAAAGGAAACTGGAATATAGAGATTAAGAAACTTGCCCAATGTCATAGAGCTAATACCAGAAATAGGAACTCTGATAACCCTACAACAAGGTATAAAGTATCTAGCATTCTACCACTGCTTCTCTTTACTCAAATGAACAGGCAGCATGAATAGAAAAAAGGTACACCAGAGAACAAATAATTAGAGAGGAAAATAGTACATTATCATGGCTAGAATACAGATTTCAGGGGAAAATGAACAAGGGGGATCAACTTACTAGATTGTGCATGTACTTAGCCTCCGATCTGTGTTAGAAAGCCTAAAGAGATTTTTAACTGCAAAAATAAGTAGTTCAGAATGTGTTTTAGAAAGATAAACTGGAAAAATTACAAAAAATTATTAAAGTAAGAATTGAATAGTTGGGTATCATCTACAAATGATACAAATATAGTGGATAACTATATTATTCCACTTATAATTGCTCAATCGTTTACTTACTCGTTCTATGAATATTTATTGAGTTCCTACTAACTGTCAGGCAATCCGTTAAGGGTAAGAGGCAAAAGAGATACTCTTTGACTCATGAATAAGAGACAAAAGCCTTAGCTGAAGAGCTTAGTAAACCAAAAAAAGGGAAAGACTTGAAAGATAATTCAAGGATCATTTAAACAAGACTAATGACAACTTAGATAAAAGTGGTTGAGGGTAAAAAATTCTGTAGTAAGAAATCTTACTAGCTGAGCACAGTAATTCATTCCTATAATCCTAGTACTCTAGGAGGCCAAAGCAGAAGGATCACTTGAGCTCAAGAATTCGAGACCAGCCTGAGCAAAGCAAGACCTCATCTCTACTTGAAACAGAAAAATAAGCATATGCCTGTAGTCCTAGCTACTTGGGTGGCTGAGGCAGGAGGAGTACTAGAACTCAGGAGTTTGAGGTTGCCATGAGCTAGGCTGGGGCCATGGCACTCTAGCCACGGAGACAGAACAAGATTATGAGTAAGACTCTGTCTCAAAAAAAAAAGAAAAAATAAGGGAAAAGAAATCTTACTAAGGGTTGCCATTTACGATATTTCTACTATTTTAAACATTATTATAGATAACTTAAATCCTCAAAACAACCCCGTAAGACGGTATCCCTTTTTTGCAGATTAAAATAATTGCAGCTCCAAGTGATTACTATAGTGTGCCTAAGGTTACATATCACATGAGCATCAAAGCTAGGATTCAAACTCAGGCCAAACTCTAAAGCCAATATTCTTTCTTCAAACATTACTGATTCAATAAATAGATCATGAGAGAAACACCAAGAAAGAAAGCCTTCCAAGTTTTAGCATTTAAAAAGAATCACAGATTGAACTTAAAAAATCTATAATCCCCCAAAATTAATTCAACGCAACAATCCTTGACTGAAAAGTCTATGCTTGATGCTTAGAGGGAAAATATAAGCAAAAGAACACAATTATTGGTCTGGGATGATCTCAGTCTCACTATTCAGATAAGAAATAATAAACACAAAATAAGCATACTAACATTAAAATTTTAAAAAAGCAAGCATCACACCAACAAAAAACTTACTCATAAATTCAAGGTTGAACTGATCACAAGTCAACACTAATGGTGGTTGCACATAGACTGATAATTTGGCTTTCTGTAATACCACTCGATTCTGTAATGTGATCTAAAGAACAAAAATTGTTATCAAAAGAAAATTACATTTAAATTGATAGATTAGCATAACTACTTAAAAATCACTAGAAAATAATTAGGAAACATTATTTAGAGCTGTTAAAGAAAAATAGTTTGTCAGTTTCTTAAAAAGTTAAATTTAAATGTACCATTATCTTCACAATTCCATACAAAGAGAAATGAAAACATGGCTACCCCAAAACTTGCAAATGTTCATACAGAATTATTTATAATAGCCAAAAAATGTAGAAACAATCCAAATGCCCATCATGATGAACATGTAAAAATAAAAAGTGACATATCCATATAATAAAATATTATTCCGCAATAAAAAGAAATGAAATATTGATAAATACTAAAACATGGGTGAACTTTGAGAACATTATGCTAAGCCATTCACAAAAAAATATATATTATTCCACTTATATGACAAGTACAGAATAAGCAAATCTATAGAGAAATAAAGTAGAATGAGAGTTGCTCAGGGATTGCGGGGATAAGGAAGAACAGCTAACAGGTATGACATTTCTTTTAGAAGAGATAAAATGTTCTAATTGGATTACACTGATGATTGCATAATTCTGATAGTTTACTAAAAATCATTGACTGTATATTATGAGGGAATTGTATAGTTTATGAACTATACCTCAATAAAGCTGTTTAAAATGTTCTATCAAAAGAAAAGAAAAATCTGCCCTTATGGCTATTGAATAACTACATCATGAAATGTTATGTGTGTTCATTCTTCCTTTTATGTACGATTATAATATCATGAATTGTTTATCTTAAAAGTATCAGTATATTTCCTCTCAAACAAGTTAATAATTCTCTCAAGATTTCCTTATGAGGTGTATAAATATACTAGTCTAGATAAATATCAAAGCACTGCATTTTCTTCCATGACCGAACACAAAAAATTTATCACATAACTAATTCTGGAAAACATCAAAGAATAGCAAATATTGACTACTAAATTTCTAAAGTGGCTACATTTTCAAACTGCTGCTCTTGCTTCGTGATGCTAAGAAAATCTTCCCAGTAGGGTGCTGGGCCCATATGCCGAAGGTGGTGGGTTCAAATCAGCCCAGAACAAAAAAAAAAAAGAAAGAAAGAAAGAAAGAAAACCTTTCTACCCCATTAAGATCCAATAGCTAAGAACTCTCAAGTAACAGTTTGCATGGGCAGAGAAGGCCAAGACTTCTCTCACTCCCCCCTGAGAAGCACTGTCTTTAGTAACCACCAGGCCCAAGGTTCTTCACTGGACCACAATGCTAAGGGACATCATCTCCAAGCTATCAAAGAAAAGGCTTAAAGATCTGGCTTCCATTGGGCACACTTTCTCTTTGCATTTAGTCTCCCAAAAGTTCCAGCCTCTTTGAATAATCTCTTTTAGATGATTTCATCACAAATGGCTGATGTGACAAACCAGACTTAGCACAGTTACCTGCCTAGGTACAGTTACTATACCAACTGAGTCTCTGGAGGGGTTGACCAATCTCTGGAGGGGCTGACCTGAATATGTGGCATTTCTTTAGAGCTCCCCAGGTGATTCTTATGTACCACAGGAAGCACTGGCTGAGAACCATAATTCTACACAGTACTTTTGCTATGGAGTAGTTCCGTCTAGTTACTAAACTATATTATATGAGACAGACACACACTATTAACTGACACAATTCAAGAACATTCCTATTGTTAAGAAAAGAAGTTTTGTGTTTTAAGTAAAAAGCATGTATCACTTCTTCCTTACTTATATATAATCTATACTGTATATATAAAGTGCATATAATTAGATTCATTACATGTCTTACATTAATTTTAAGTGATGTGAGCATTTGGTATAACTTAAAAATAAATTAAATATAAAAAATTTGACTTGCGGCTCGGCACCTGTGGCTCAAGTGGCTAAGGCGCCAGCCACATACACCTAAGATGGAGGGTTCAAATCCAGCTCGGGCCCACCAAACAACAATGATGGCTGCAACCAAAAAATAGCCAGGCATTGTGGCAGACGCCTGTGGTCCCAGCTACTTGGGAGGCAGAGGCAAGAGACTCACTTGACCCCAGGAGTTAGAAGTTGCTGTGAACTGTGATGCCACAGCTCTCTACCCAGGGGGACAGCTTGAGGCTCTGTCTCAAAAAAAAAAAAAAAATTTGACTTGCAAAGCAAATTTTTTTTAAAACAGCTATTGATGCAAATAAATATGATAAAGAGAATGTACAATGAACCCTCAATTTTTACTATGTAAACCATGGAAATACCTGGAGAATTGTCATGCTACAAACAAAACTTCCTCCGTATGACCATCATAAACACAATACCTTTTTAGTAAAACTCTGTTGGTAATTATGGCAAGTAGAAACTATACAAGAACCACAGACAATTGTCTTTCAAATAACTAATCGACTAAATAAGCAGGACACAATTTAAGAATTTCACTATTAACAATAATATAATGCTTGCCTGTACATATATTTTAGCATAGAATTAATAATATTAGTGATAATAACCACTAGTGCCTTTCTATTTAATATAATATATTCATGCAACCATGCTAACAAGTTATTTATATTCACAATCTCATTTATTCTTCACAAGAGTGCAAAACGCACATTATCATACACCCTCTTGCAGAGAAATAGAAAACTGTAGCTCAGAGAGGCTAAGTAATTTACCAAAGGCCACTATGACTATAAGTTGAAGAACCACAGTTTAACCTCTGACTGCTGGCATCCAGGGCTCACACTTTTAACCAACTGTGGTTAAGTCTCATAATAACTTTCCAAATGAAAAACTATCCTCAATTTTAAGTTCAAAAAATAGAGCTTCACAGAAGGCAAATAATATGTCCAAGACCATCAACCCAACTAAAGAGTTGAAAACTGTAACCAGAAAAGTCTCTGACAACTCAGTTTTTTAAATGAAATGAAAATTCCTTAAAGTAATAATAAGCCATTTGAAAATAGCATTCTGACTCTTCCTGAAATAATGATGTCTACTTAGACAACAATCACACAACTTTACATGGTTACAAGAAGGGTCTGCATTTGGTTTAGATACATGATCATGATTGCTCTCACACACAGATTTACTAAAGCCCAACAATGGGCTATGCAGTTTAAAAATGTGAATCAAGGAGATGTGTGACAAAAATAACTACGGTAACAAAGAATAGTTGTGTTTGAGCCAAAAAAAGAGTTAAGACTTGGCTAGATCATAAACCAGATATTTTAAGAAAAAAATAATTACAGATTATTAAGGAGAAAATATAAAACATTAATACAAGAATTTTCCATGCTATTTTCTGCTTCTAATGAAAATGAAATGTAATCCTTAGGATATATAATACCCAATTTTTATCCTAGATACATAAATATGACTCCAAAGGCTAGGTATGAACACCCAACCACTCTGCCTAGTTGCCTGGAGTAGATGGTCACGCATCATACACACATACTCAAGGTAGCCACATCTTCATTGACTTGGAACGGATGGAAAAATTTTCTCAATTAACAGGATTTATTATGATGGAAACTTGCATGGTTATATATCTTGGCTGCTGTTGTTATAAAAGGCCATAAGGAGAGGATTTATAGCAGAAATTTGTATAGAAACTGTCAGACAGGATCAGGAAGTCATTGTGTCTGCTGTGTGAGTACAGCCAACTCTGTGCAACCCTATGTGTTACATTCCTTCTCGTGCTTTTATAATGGCAATGAGAAAGAGAGGTGTGACTTTGAAGTACTCAAATACAGTAAATTCCATGGATAAAGGAGAATTTTCCAAGAGTGTCACATTGTCATTTTAAGGTGGTTATTTTACATGAAAGCCTAAGAACTGCATGAGAGGGAAAGATGTGTTTGTTTATAACAATAAATCCTGGTTGGCTGGATGGGGCAGAATTAGCACGAGCAATGTTATCTGGTTAAGGCACATTTCTTTTTGCGATTTACAGTGTGCTTCTGAAATATTATATGTATATGTCTGAACACTATCAGCACACAAGGTTTCCTCACACAAAAGTATAGATCATTTCTGGAACTCTGTAGTTATTTTTTTTCCTAAACTGTTTGATTTCTTGCCACTAAAGCTTTTCCAGACTCAGAAGTATTAATAAGATAGAGTCTTTGATTGGACGGGGGAAGGGAGACTGGGGAAAGACCACCCTTGTTTCCAATGGCAAGAATCCAAGAAAATTAGCTTAGGAAACCATTATAATATTGGGCTCCCTTCAACTTCGACCAAAGATCTCCACACTTGGGCCACCCGCTGGGGCCAGTGTAAGCGAACACAATTGGTAAAGCCTGGTGCCCTCTCAAGCTCCTCCAAGGACAGCAACCCATAATCTAAGAAAATATAAAGCCCTGTCCAAGTTTTGACTAAGTGAATCGCCAAAATACACAACTTTCCCTGGTTTCCAAGGTCTGGGCAGTGATAAATATTTTCAGCTTAATAATGTGCTGACTGATTACCACATTTTAATCTAAATGCCTTAAGAGGATTCTACATTTGAGTTCTAGTTCTAAAATTCTACAATGACAGGACTAAAATTCTTAACCCAAACCACATCCTTCATATTCTATTTTTCCAAGACTACCAATTTGTCACTACTCTACTTTGTGGCTTCTTCATTTAATATTTTCTTGCTATAAATATATCAATTTAAAGCTAATGTTATGGCAGATAGATGGCTCGGAATTCTATTTAAATAAACACATAATCATACATAGAAGAAAGATATTATTAGCATTCCTGTGCTTCCCCAATAACATTTCACACTGTGCTAAGTATGATGTACCAAGCAACCAATTGGTCTATCATGAATGGTGATGACACAATTCATTTAGCAGATTTTAAATGCTAATTTTACCTTTTTTAAAAAGAGCTTGAAGATCATGCTACACAATAAAATATTGATAAGTCATAACATTATTTATATTACAAATGCTACAAATGTAATTATCAATTTTATAATTGCAGGTAACAATGAAGGTCTTCCATTCACTACTCAAAGCTGACGAACACCTATAAAGTGTTTATCTCACATTTCTATAAGCTACTTACAAGGTAACAACAATGACAGATATGATGAAATACATAATATTGTTTGCACATTACAGTCTAAAACCTTGTACAATACCTTCACTGAGATGGAAGGGACAGTGTCAGTTCCAACTTCAGCATCAGTGGCTTGCTGTAAACACAGAGGTGAAAAGGCAGGAAAGAATGATTTCAATATTACACAGCAGTGATTGAACACAAAGGATGCAATATATATTTCCCACTACCGAAACAGGGAGCTAACTATAAAGAATGTATCACTCTGACAGATTAAGAGTCAATGTGGTTTTTTGGATGTCTTCATCTAGAAACTCAAAGCTAATGTTCAAAAACTCACCCCCTAGAAAAAGAAAAGGATAGTCACATATTTTATCAAACCATTCAATTTCCATATCTAAATGTTGAAAGTATTGATTTATATATAGAGAGAAGGCTTCCTTGTATTTCCCAGATGAACATTATGCCATTCCTTTAGGTCCCTGTATTTTGAACTTGAAAAATGTACATTCTACATGCATTCTGATTAACAAATATCTAAGACATATAACTTTCCACCTGGAAAATAAAAGTGTAAGTGTACTTTTTTTTTTTTTACCAATCCATATTATAAAGTAATTTAGTAGATATTCTTTGAGCATCAGCTTAGGTTACCTGATTCTACCCCTTAAAGAATACATAGTATAATATAATAAATTAAACATTTCCTTATAACGTATTTTTTAGAGTGGCATACTGAAAGTAAAAAAATGATTCTATGATAGAATCATTCTATGGTTCTAAGTCTATGATAGAATAAGACCAAAGGGTAACATATTTTCTAATAACACCCATATGAATTCTAGGGGAATAATTAAAATTATAAAGTCTCCATCCAACCAATGAATATGATCTATAGTGCTTATTTTTGAAGTTTTTTTAACTAAGAAGAACTAAGCCACATGAAGTCTGATGCAGCTTCTCAAGATGGATAGCAATGTTTATTTCTTCTATAAAAGATTCCATTCTAATTTAAATTATATTACTTTTTGAGATATGTGCTTTCATAATAATTATTCAAAATAAAATATTAATCAGGGCTTTTTGCTCTAGCTAAAATCCAGGAAATGTTTTACGGTCCACAAGTCTAGAAGAGAAATCAACATCTCCTGTTTCCTGCTATTTTCAATCCATGTCTAAATACCTAGATACTTCAAGGACAGCAGTCCTGGGAGAACATAAAATGGTGTCTTCCTATAGCCAGTGAGAAATAGCTATAAGAAGACACCATGGCACCATAGGCCATATAAATTGCTGGGCTAATGTTTTCCAATGGAGTGAAAATGATACTCTCAAGAAATCTCTCAAGAAGGAAAAAAACAGTAACACAGGGAAAATAAAGCTAGAAAGAGACACCTAGTTAAGAGGAAATAGCATTCAGTGCTACCAATAGAGAAATATATATTACAATATAGTGCTACCACAAAAGGCTTTTTCCTATAAAGACCAAAAGTTCCTAAAGGACAAGAAGGGAATTCCTCATTCTAAATAGCCTATGTTTAAGAGAACCTAGAAAAAATTATGTAAGTTGCACAAAGAAGAAAAGAGTCATTTCCACAGCAGGAAAATGTGTATACATTTGTCAGCTAACTAAGCAGAAATGTTCCACTCAGACTACACCCTTCAGGTAGAATGAAAAATGGTGTGTGCTGAATGGCCAATGTTTAAAACAGTACCTCTACTATGTGACTACTGCGTGAATGTTCCTTTCATATATAGCCCAACTTTTTTATGTGTACCCAATTTACTATAGCAATGTTAACATGATTTTTATCACAATCTGCTCTGCCTATTTATATGAACATTAATTTTTGAAAACTCATGACAACTACTTATTATATTATGCTCTAATACCTAAATATCAAAGACATTTCCCAGGCAGATTTATATGATATAAACTCCAAATATGGTAAAATGAGTGAATCCAACCACTTTCCTAAATTAATCAACTTTTAGTAGAAACACAGATAAATTTCACAGATTTTGCCCAAAATGCAGGCAATGAGACAAAATGATTCATACCCTACCAAGTGATTACAGAAGACTAAACAAGATAAACCAAACAGTCCCCTTTCATCCTTTCTTTTTCTCATTTGTATTCATTCATTCGTAGACCGTATATATACTAAGCACCCACTATTTGGCAAGCACTTAAGATAAAGCAGTGAACAAAACAAGTAGTGAAATATAGGTGCTGGTGGCGAGGATGATGATAATGTTGGAAGAAGTAAAATGTAATTTGATCATGATGATGTTGACAATAATTATCGCAGTAATTCAACAAAGTAGATATGATTATTATTCTCATTTTTGCTGATGAGAAAATTGAGACTAAGAAAATCATGTACCTTGCCTTGGTTCACACAGATAGAAGTGGAGAAAATAATGATCCCTGAACCAACCACCTACTCTTAAACTACCATACCACCACTGTCGCCATAATAAAAACTATAAGGATAGGTGCAGTAGCTGACACTGTAATCCTAGAATTCTGGGAAGCCCAGGCGGGAGGATTGCTTGAGGTCAGGAATTCAAGACCAGCCTGAGCAAAAGCCAGATGCCATCTCTACCAAAAATAGAGAAAATTAGTTGGGCATGGTGGCAAGTACCTATAGTTCAGCTACTCAGGAGGTTGAGGCAGGAGGATCCTTTAGCCCAGGAGTTAGAGGTTGCAGTAAGCTGTGATGGCGCCACTGCACTCTCCCAGGGGCAATAGAGTAAGACTCTTGTCTCAAAAAAAAAAAAAAAAAAAAAAGACTGTAAATCAACAAACTCTGAGGGAGGCCATCCACAGACATTATTTCATTGATCCTTCAGCAAAAATCTGATTTGGGGTGGCACCCATAGTTCAGTGGGTAGTGCACCAGCCACATACACTGAGGCTGGTGGTTCAGACCTGGCCTGGGCCAGCTGAAACAATAATGACTACTGCAACAACAACAAAAAAAAATAGGCAGGGGTTGTGGCAGTTACCTGTAGTCCCAGCTACTTGGGAGGATGAGGCAAGAGAATCACTTAAGCCCAAGAGTTTGAGGTTGCTGTGAGCTGTATTCCACAGCACTCTACCCAGGGCAACAGCTTGAAACTCTGTCTCCAAAAATAAAAGGCAGAGCCCATAGCTCAGTGAGTAGGGTGCCGGCCACATACACAGAGGCTGGTGTGTTAGAACCTGGCCTAGGCCAGCTAAATAACAATGACAACTGCAACAAAAAAATAGCCAGGTGTTGTGGCATGTGCCTGTAGTCCCAGCTACTTGGGAGACTGAGGCAAGAGAATCGCTTAACCCCAAGAGTTTGAGGTTGCTGTAGGCTGTGACACCACAGCACTCTACTAAGGGTGGCATAGTGAAACTCTCTCTCAAAAAAAGAAAAAAAAATCTGATGTGGTCAGTAGCATTTAGCTGGATTAGTAATATCTCAATATTATAGCACTGAGAAGGTTTTTTAAAAATCAAAATAGTAGGATTAGAACAAGAGCAATAACCAATTCTACTGCTTTCCCTCCTCCCAGTCCCACTTTTTTAAAAAATAGAAATCCTGCCTAAGAAGCTCCATGCTAGCACTGACTGAGAGACTATAAACATTTTTATCTAGACAGAAAAAGAAAACTAAAATTTGTTGGTCTCCCTGGAGTTTGCACCAAAACATTTTGATCCCAATTCATCAGAGTCTACATCAGCTATAAACCTCCTTAAAATCTGCAAATACAGGGCAGTGCCTATGACTCAAAGGAGTAGGGCACCAGCCCCCTATGCCAGAGGTGGCAGGTTCAAATCCAGCCCTGGCCAAAAAAAAAACTGCAAAAAAAAAAATAATCTGCAAATACACCTACAGACACTGCATCAAAGTTAGGAGAAACCACAGCAGAAACTTTCAAGTCATCTTCTCTGTCAGTCATGGGCCAAACACCTGTGATTTAAAAAAAAAAAAAAAGAAAATTAATCATAACATACACGCTGCTCTATAGTTTTTCTTTAAAAATTTATCTATATCACATATTTTAAAAACCGTTAGTATATTAACAAGTTGAAAAATTCATTACAACATTAAACACTTGATGTCAATTCTCTTACTCTATAAAAAAGAAAAATCATCTCCAAAGGTATTAGCTAAGATGTGAACCACTGACTACCCAGTATTGGGAATTTCAATGCTCTCACCTTAACTATCAGTGGAAGTCCAAATTAGTATAAACATTTTGAGGGAAGTTGGATGTAACTATCAAAATGTAAAACGTACATATCCAATGAGTTAATCCTAACTCCCCAATATTTATCCAATATCCACAAACATTCCCAGTAAGGTTCCCTGCTATTAGCAGTAATTTTTCAAAATGAAAACAACCTAAATATCTATATATCTATTAATAAGAAAATAGTTAAATATATGATAGTATATCTGTACTATGCAATGTCCCAAAACTGTATATAAGAGTGCTGTCAATCTTTATACACTGATATGAAAAGAACTCCAAGATATATCTACACATTTTAAAAAGCAAGATATAATTCAATATGTCTAACAGGAAAATATTTGTATAAAACAACTATGTAAACGTGAATATTTTCTAGAAGGATACATAAAAATTCTTGATAAGGATTGCTTTTAAGAAGAGGAGACTTTTAAGGGAGACTCACTTTTTATTGTTTACTCTTTTAGTACTGTTTCAATTATTTTTACCATTTTCATGTTATATTCATATTTTCGAGAAGGATACATAAAAACTCTTGATAAGGATTGCTTTTAAGAAGTGGAGACTTCAATAACTAAGAAAATGACAAGAAGGCTATGTTAACCAGTTTGATGGAAGTGTTTCGGATTGTGTGTGAAAACACCACACTGTACCCCAGAAGTGCATTAATGTACATAGTTACCATTCAATAAAAAAAAAAAAAAAAGAAGTGGAGACTTTTGAAGGGAGACTCACTTGTTATTGTTTACTCTTTTAATACTATTTCAATTATTTTTACAATTTTCATGTTATGTTCATAATATAAACATATCTATGTTACATACAGAGATATAAACAAATAACAGAGATCCTAAACAAATAAGAAACAAAAATATTTATGCACATATACAGATATGTGTGTGCATTAAAAAAGATTATTGGCTGCCTACCCAACATCCATTCTTTACTCCTCCCTCTTTGTAGCAAAAACTTAGTTAGTTGAGTCATTCCCCCTTCGTCTTAGAGAAGGTCACCCCTCCCAAGCCCCAAGGTCAAGTCCCATCATAGTGATTCCGTTCCACTGACCTTTTTTTGTTTTAGGCATGGATGTAGGACTTAATTCTGGCATATGGGAGGTAAAGGAAGTTAGGAGTGAGGGTGCTGGCACACACTTCTGGTAAAGCTATTCTTCTCTAATGAGGGGAGACTCAGAAGAAACATCTGTATTCGTCCATGGAAATCGTATCTACACATAATGCCTGGACCTGCTAAAGGTCATCCTGTGACCCTGAGAAACATCCCACACACAGAGGATGGCTGACTGAAGATATAAAAAGCACTTGGATGACTCCACATGAATCAGCTATCTCACAAAAATAAGAATTGTCTATAATTGCCATCAGGGATTCCCACTATACTGCAAGATTTAGAATGGGAATTTTCATAACTCAGTGAGACTATAAAAGGCTGTTCATTACCTATCCAACAACCTTCTTTAATTCTTCTTTACTTAAAGCCCAATTTTATTCTGAGCAATGAAGTACTCAGCTAAACCACTTAATTTCCCAGCCTGTTTTGCAGCCTGGAGGGGCTAATGAGATGTAAGTACCAACTATTCAGGGTATGGCTTCCAGGAAAGCTCCTTATGGGGGCTGACTCAGCTGCAGATGTGAGGGCAAGAGTTCCAAAGGCCATCCTGGACTAATAGATGACCCTGGAATAGAAGGAATCAAAGTCCCTGATGAATGTGGAACTGCCAAGCCAACCCTAAACTGCCCATCACTGGGCTTCTTTTGCAAGAGAAAGAAAGAAACCTCTAGTTTGTTGAAGCCACCTTATTTGGGTATTCTGTTATATGCAGCCAGATATAACCCTCAATGAAAAATGTACCAAATACAAATGTTTCTAATACTCAATGGTACAAGGTCAATTAATTACCCAAGACATATTTCAAATAGGGTACTGACTTTCGGTTCATCCCCATATTGTACTCCTCTCTGTCTCTCCTCTAACAACACAACTGTGTGGGCTCCTATCTGAAAGTTGCATGCAGTCCCTCATATACATCCCAGCTACAGAACATGATCAACTAAGTCATAAGAAAACTGTCTGTGAAACTTCCTACCAGTAGATATTATTGACTACTTGTGTTATAACAAAAATGCTAGCCAGCATTCACATTCATGAGTTAAGTATGAAAAGCTTGAGAATCCACGACCCGCACACAAATTATTACTATGATTTCATGCTTACACTATACATTCCTCATATAACTTACACACATAAAATCAACTTTAAAAACACTTTTACTATAGTAGATAATATACACCATGTGTACAACAAAATGTACTCTTTAAATTGGCTTTAAATTTTGCTGCAACTGTTTCTTTGAAAAAAAATTTTTTAAAGCTTTAAGTACTTAACATAACCCACAAGACTATGAACTTTCTTTGCAAGTTAAAGCCACCGTACTAAAATAAATATTTAAATGAATAATAAGATTATCAAAAATTTCAGAGTTTTAACTTCTCATAATCTTCTGTAATAAAATAATTTGGTGCTTTAATATGATTACAGGTATTTTAATAAATAAACATGCCAGGGTTTTATAAGGGTATGGGATACTAACTTTTCTTCATATCTAGAAATAAAATATTTTAAAAACCTCTCCTTTTAAGAAGCTTCTCTTTGTTTCTTTCTCTGGAATAAAACCAAAATATAATGGAATAAAAAAGTGAAGGAACTTCAAATATTAACTAAAATTTGAGATTATATATAGATAATGCACCCGAATCTCTAAGTGCATCCCTATCTTAATTAGCAGCTATTTCAGAAGTAATTCAGAAGGACTGAGGTACTATTAATAATAAGTAAGATAGCCTTCTCATCCAACTACATCACTATGGCCACTAAGAAATAATTTTGGCTCAGTGCCTATGGCTCAAGCGGCTAAGGTGCCAGCCACATACACCTAAGGTGGCGGGTTCGAATCCCCAGCCCGGCCCGCCAAACAACAATGATAGCTGCAACCAAAAAAAAAAAAAGAAAGAATTTTAACCTGTAAAGGATTCTTTGAGAAATCTCCTACACAATTAATGTTATTCAAAATATCATTAGCATAATGCATATGAAAAGGGTAAAATCTCAAGACACAAAATTTGGAGTGAAAGCCACATTATTTAACAAACTCTGAAAATTCATATATACGCCACACTTCCCTAATTATATTTTCTTTTTTTTTTTTGAGACAGAGCCTCAAGCTGTCGCCCTGGGTAGAGTGCCATGGCATCACAGCTCACAGCAACCTCCAACTCCTGGGCTCAAGCGAGTTTCCTGCCTCCGCCTCCCAAATAGCTGGGACTACAGGCACCCGCCACAATGCCCGGCTATGTTTTGGTTGCAGCCATCATTGTTGTTTGGCGGGCCCAGGCTGGATTTGAACCCGCCACCTTGGTTATACATGGCATGGTTATACGTGGCATGTCTTAGCCACTTGAGCCATGCCAAGCCGTAATTATATTTTCAAATGACAAAATGAAACTTATAATTCCACTAATCCCAAAATACCAGTGTCAAAAATTGAAAATAACTATATATTGCAATATGACACAGCCCATTTTAATCATTCCTATTTAACATGCAATTCTGAAAACAAATGGGTTTTTAAGTAATTAGAGGTACTTAAAGACCTAAATTTCACTGGTTTACTTTCAAAGCTTTTTAAAAGAATGTGTGAAGCCAAATCACAATAACTTTATTTTAATATTCATATTTTTAAAATATATTATCTCAATTCCTCAGAACCAGAGGAATACAATCTTAGTAACACAGACTCAGAAATACATAAATCTAGTAAAATGACTGAATCAGGATTAAGATGGGCTCTATTGTTTTGGTTGGCTTTTGATACTCTGTTTCTTTTATTATTTCTACTTGTTTTAACATTTCTTTTATGTGAAAATAGTCCATATTTTTTCTCATTAAAAAAATACTTTTACCTGACCCTGAAAAGGGAACTTAAAGTAATGCTTTTCACATGTCCAACTCAAACTGCAGGATTGGTGTTTTGTTTCTCCTTTTAATTTACAATAAAATTATACCCTTGTGAGTCCCAAAGTAAGATAATATTGAGTTATTCAAAACTTAGGAACTGAAAATATCATCAGCCTCTGAGTCATTAGAAATCAGCATACCTCAAGCTACACACCATTTGGACAGTTAATTAAATACAAACATAAATTATATCACTAAACTGCAAAGACTACATTTTTAGCAACAAAATGGTAACTCATGTACTGCTATGGTTTCTTTTTTAAAAAGCAACTAAATTTTTTTCAGGAACATGAGACATTAATAAATGATCACTCTAAACTTTAATGCTCTTCTCAAGGCCTAAAACCACTACCAAAGAAGTATATCTTCCTTTCTTAGAGTTCAAAAAAAAAAAACTAGATAGCAATCCTGAAACACATTAACAAAAGCATTATCTTAATTAAAACACATTTTTCATATGCTATAACATACTAAGTAAGCATAAAGAAAGGGCTAAAAGTGACTTATGTTATAAATATGACTTTAATTAAGCCTGGAGGAGAAAATTGACTAATATGACAATACATTTGTGTACAAGATAATGTGAATTTTATAATGAATACTCAAATTAAATAATAAAAAGCTTTAAATGAGATACCTTGTGATTTGTTAACATCTTTGATGATTTTCTGAAGTTCTTTCAATTCTATATCAAGTTCATCATAGTGTAGTTCTCTAGATTCAACTTTTGGAGCTTGGAACAGAGAAGGGTCTGTCCCCAGGTATGAACACTGCAGGTGACCATCATCACTCAGAGTGACTATAACTCCCTTTAAATCACTATAATCAGGAAAAGAAAATGATGAACAATTTATACTTTTACTCAATTCAGCTTCAACATACCATTAAGAAAACGGCTTTATATCTGTCTCCAAAGTTTTACTTCAAAGACTTGATGTACATGTTTCAAACATGACTTATATTTATAGAAATATATCCAATGTTGAAATTCATTACAGGAAGGGAAAAAATATTATAATTAAACCTAGCTACATGGTAAATCCTTCTCTGAGAGCTTTTCAAGTACTATTATTAATCTTCACTCCAGCTACCACTTGGTAGTATTCACAATAAGCATGTGAACAACACTCAAGGAGGTACAATGCACAGAAAGATGAAGTGGGGCTGCTGGCTGGCTGAAGACCAGAGATGAGGCCCAGGGGGAGGGCAGGAGGACCCAAGAGACAGAATAGCAAATACGGCCGGTGGGGGAAGCCAGGGGAGGCCTTAAAGAAAAATGTGCCCCATGCTATTTTCTCATCCGTTTCCTTCTCTCAATACTTGGGACACTTGCCTTCTTTCCCCAGGTCCACCAGCATGGCGTTCTTCACATACACTCCTAACTCAAGCAGTTCTCTGGTTTGTTCTTTCTCTCTTTTTACTCTTCTTAAATAGAATTAGCCCACTGTTTCACTTAGAACCCTTTTCTCTATTACTCTTTGCATCCTGATTACTTCTTTGCCTCCCCATCTTTCATTCCTCCTCCTCTTTTAAGCTATCTTATTTCTGTTTTACTCAACAAATCAGACATAATATGTTAATTATATAAATGACGGATCATTGTAAAAAACAAAACTTGTAAGTTTTTCTGCATGAGATAAATACTGTTTTTGTTTTCTCCCTAACTTTTCCAGAAAAAAAAAAATACAACATTGTCATAAGTAATTTTGAGTTGATACGTAATAGATATATTTGGTTTTTGTTTGTTACATTTTCTATAGTAACCTTTGATTTTTCTTTAAAAAGTGTTTCTAGCCCTGTTCTAAAAAGTATATATTAGTCAAAATAATTTTAAAATTGTGAGAGAAAATAAAATGAAAAAACTGTTCCTATTCATCTGAAGAAAAAAGATAAACAACAGATAAGGCATATAAGAGTCTAGGCTTATTCAGAATGAAAAGAAATATTTTAAACTCCCCAACTCTGGACCATGGCAAGTAGTCATCTTATTAATCTAAAAGCTTCAGTTGGTTAAAAAGAGGTACTACCATTGTTCAATCCTTACCATAGGGGTCCACCAGTATCTACTTCACCACCTGCCTTAAACAACACTCCTATACACACCTTCCCCAGGGCTAAATACAGTCAGTGCCACATACCCCTATAAAACAGCTTCAAAAAAACAGGTTGATATTACTGATTCAACAGCTAAAGGGCTAGAGCAGGAGTCATGGGATTTAAATTCTAACTCTGACTCTCCCCCTACAGAACTAAAATAGCTTAGAGAAATCTTCCTAAATGTTCTTTATCTCTAAAATGAAAAAAGACTATATAATCCTCAAAAGTCTTTTAAGTTTTATGAATTGGCTCTGTCATCTACCTCAGAAAATAAACACTACCAAAGTGAAATTATTTTCTTAAAACAGTGTGAAAGTCAACCTATGGTACCTGAGGGCGTGAACCCTTCTTTGCAGACAACTGAAGCCACCTAGTGGCCAATGAAATCCTAACTTCCAGCTCTGGTAAGTCCAGTTCAAGAGGACAAACCTTCCCTTCCCTCTGAGTTGTGACTGAAGTCTGCTGCCCGTTCAACCCAGTCTCACTAAAGTCTAGGAACCTAATGAATCCTCGCTAAACTCTAGAACATTAAAAGGCAGGTCTTTGGCTAGCTTCTCAGAGAATGTAGGAATCATCAGTTCTTTGAACTCAACGGGGCATTTCCATTTCGCCTTCACCCATTGAGTTGTCCATAATACAAGAAAGCTAGCTCGACCCAATACAAGAATTCCTCCCTATCCAGACTGGTTTGATCTTTGAGTTGGATAGTTCATTACTAAGTCAGTTTTGTTTCACTGTCTCAAACAGCAAATAGCAAAAATTAGATACAAAGGATTTGCCTAAAAAATTATCTGAACCAGCTACATTTCTGAGTTCAGAGAGAAAGTTTGGACAATTCAGAATACATGTATTTCTTCAAACTCTCAAAAAAAAAAAACCCCCACTCTTTTTTGTAAATGGGCATTCTTGGAATTCATAATTAACCTTATACTATAAACTGTATGACTTTGTGCATATTAGAAAATCTATTTCTATTTAAACAGTTCATCTGTGGATTTTTTAGATCAACTTAACTTAAAGGCTGGTTGAAGAGATATCATCAAATGTACTGATTAGAATACTATTTACTTTGACTGTGTAGCAGTGATTCCAACAGGATAAACTGTTAACATACCAACCACTAACAGTGGCCACTGTATTGTTAAACATATAGACTTTGCAGGTTGAAGTCTGAACATCAACATTAGATCTTCAAAACTTATTTCCTGGAAAGCCTAGGACACATTTATTAATGCTCATGGGTTTTTTATTCTTTTTTATTTCAGATTAATATGAAGGTACAAATGACTAGGTTACACTGTTTTAATTTCTTAGCTAAAGTTCAAGTTGTAGTTAAACACTTTTGCCGGCAAGCATTTGAAGTGTCCAAATGGAAAATGAAGGAGCCAGAATCTTCCCTCACTGAAAGAACTTAAAAAAATGTCACCAGAATAACCTGATAGATAGCTAAAGTAAGTATAGAACTTAAACAGCTTGATTTAAAAAAAATAAAACAATGGCATCAGAACCATTGCCTACAATTTAGATCAAATAACAGAAATCTAGACTATAGACGAATTCATAGAAAATTACATCTTTTATTCCACAGTAACATAAGACAAACTCTAAGAACTCTAGAATAAATCAGTTTATAAATCAGTCCCTATCATGAGCAGGGACTTTGACTCAGGCCTGTAATTCTACTTAATAAATAAGTAGTATCATTACTGGGTATCTTTGTACAAAAACTTTTAAAATATTTATATTATTTCTTAAATTAAACTGAAGTATAAAGAGAAAAAGAACACATTCAATCAAAATTTCTAAGAAATATTTCTATTTAATAAATATTTTCTTTAACAATACTGTCCGTGTGGGTTAATATGTAAGGTTCCATGAATGGTAGAATTTTATGGTGAAAGAAGCCATCAATTAAATCTACTAGCATTGTATACTCCACTTCTATCTTAAAAGTAGAGTTAACATTGATGAATGAAGGTCTCTGAATTATTACTGGCCTTTGAAGCACATCCGCCAACCCAAGGCACCAGAACAATATACTTTATGAAGAATCCAGGTCAAAGATCTCATATTTCTAGGACATATAAAAATTTTGTGACTTCAGCAATGGGGCATGAAATTAAACAATAGACTTTTGCTCAAGAATTTGTAAGTAATTGTTTTATCACTCGGTAAACAGACCCCTGCCTTAATAATACATTAAAACAAAATCCCAGAGGGATTTTAAAAGTTAAATTTAAAAATATGAAACTACAAAAATATTTATCTTCCTCTGGGATGGGAAGAACTGCTGCTGCAAGAAAGCAATGGAGGACACTGTAAAGGAAAGGATCTCTAAATTAAACCACCAAAATGTTTTAAACTTGCTGAATATAATACAACCTCGTATAGCAAGAACAAGAACAAAACATAGTAAGGAAAAAGACAAACTGGGAAAACCACCAGAAACCAATATAAAATGCATTATTAGTTGAACCATATGAAGTTGCTGATATTCAACTGTTTCTGACCTATAAAAACAATTTTATATGTGGAAACTAATGTTTAAAAGAACTCATAAAAATCAATCAATCAATCAAAAAACGAACTCTTACATATATCAATGAAAATAAGATTATCTCCCAACAGAAAAAGGCCAAAGACATGTACAATTCACACATAAAAAAATACTGTCAATGAACAGATGAAAAAAATTCATAATCAAAAAATGTACATTTTTTAAATTATATTTTATGGCTGCATTTAATACCTCAATCTAGCAAAAATTTGTATTTAATAATGATCCTGCATTTAGAGAAGGCACAGGGAGACAGAAATTCTTACACTTTTGCTAGGAATGTAAATTTGTTAAAATCATTTTAGTGAACATTTTAGTGTAGTTTCATAAATATATATATAAATCTTTTAAAATGTTCATTGCCTTACATAGTCATCTACTTTCATGGTTATTAAAAAAATTAGAAACAACCCAAAGGATAAGAAAGGGGGAAAATATTTTTTAAATCCCAATGTATCTATAATAAAAGAGTTCTATGTCATTAAAAATCATAACATAAAATATCTTCTATCAGAAAAAACAGTAAAAAAAGTTAAATGTAATAACAAAATATAATATTGCATACACATTTTATTCTAAGTTTATAAAATATACATGTATAAAACACAGATTAGGGAAAAAACATCTAAATGCTAATCGAATGGTGACTATCTCTAGCTAAAGAAATTATGAGTTACTTTTATTTTGTCTTGCAGTCACCAAATAAGAGTAGAAAGAAAACTTAAAAACAAAAAAACTGTTCTAGTTTCCAACCCCAGAAACTGAATTTGAATCAACAACTTAGAGGTTAACCATCTGTGGAATTTAAAATGTTTATCTAGTTCTCTGACAACGCCGATCTATAAAAAGTAGAATACAAAAAAATATCTGAAGTATAGCTCACAACAGAAAATGAATAGCTTCTTTCATTTGCTAATACAAAAATAAAACAAATAATACTTTTAAAAACAAATAAAAAGAATGTGTATTGAATCTCTCTTGCCCAGCCTCATTTTATGCAAAATAGGAAACATTTTAAGTTATCAAATTGTCAAAGTCTGCTTTTTATTACTATATATAGATGTCAAAGGAAACTTAAATATTATTTATTACTTAGTAAGGAGCACATGATTGAAAGGCACTTCCTTTTGAGCATGGTCAGGCAGACTTAGTGCAAGCAGTGCTC